ATTTATAAACGATTTTGCAAACTATAGATCCCAGATACTGTAGCTTTCCCAGTTCAATATAAAACATCCTGTTATAATGTGCCCAGAATTCATATCATATAAAGCTATATGTATAAAGTATAAAACAGAGGTCACTAATAGACAGCTTTCCTGCTTTCTTTATTGAAAGATTTGAGATATCCAATACAGACATGACTGAAACAATATTTCAGGCATATTACCAGATACACAACATCTAGCCAGTATTAGCACTGATGGAAGCCACTCATTCAGTCTGGTAATGGATGATAAAGACAGAATTATGTAACTGATGCTGTGCAAATAGGAGCAACAGGCAACTTTCTATGGGATTTTTTATATATAAATAACATGAGAAAAAGCACTAAATAGCATTTAGCATAAAATTTCAGTTTCACAAAAAGTGAAATTTGTCACAACATTGTTAACATGAGAACATAAGAAGTAACACATTTTGGGTCATCGAGCAAATTATGTCATGGTAACTTGGTTTAACACTGCAAAATCTATATATGCTTGTTATGTTAGCACCCAAGAGGCGCTGAACTACACTTCCCATCAGCCCCAGCATGTCACATGTCTCAATCACTCTCACCTGTGTCTCGTTTCACCTTGATTAGCACCACTACTGTATATAAGTTCCTGTTTTTCAGCATCTTATTGTCAAGCTTTTGTTGTTCTTGTGTTTGTGTGTGGTTGTATGTGCCACAGTCTCATTTTTAGGCTGGATGGTTTTTCCTAGTATCCTCTGTTCAGGTTTATGGTTCTTGTTTTCACTGTATTGGTTGTTTATGCTTCACATACACATAAATAAAATCTGCACTTGCATCTGCCTCTGCTACCAAATCCTGACAATGCTTTTCAAAAAAATACACACATTTATTTCCAAAAAAGGTTTAAATCATTAGACTTAATTTATTTTTTAGAATCAAAGTTCAATAGAGCAGTAAAATAAAATGTATAAATTAAAGGGTCTTATAGAGGGTAACTAATCTTTGAGTAGTTTTGTCATAATGACGTTCCTTTGGTTAAGCTCACAATTCAAGTAAGGGAAAGAAGGTCTTAGAGTCAAAGGGCAATTTCTACCCAGAGACAGTGCAGTAGTTGTGCTCCCTGATGAGCCAATGTGCAATGTGCTAATATATCACAGTGCCACATATCTCTGCATTTCATTAATGTAGAAGGTGCAAATGGTCTCTATAATGACAGTTCATTATCATGCATTTCTGTGCATATGGTGTCTGTTTTGACATATGTTCAAAGCATATATATGGTAATATATTTATATTGACGTACAGTATAATATCTATGCCAGTGTTCAGACTAGGAATAACACATCTGTTATGTTGCTTTGTGACAATGTCTATGAACTGAACAAGTTAATGAGTTAATGTACATTGCTGAATATCTAACTAAATCATACATACTGCAATTGTTATTTGCTGATACTCATATTTACCAAGTGTATTTTCATTTTTTTATACTTACCCAGTTATCCCAGTGAATAAGCACCCTGAATATATTGTTGTTGTTGTTTTTCACAGTTCATCACATTTTCATGTGCTATATTTAGCTTTCACGATCAGGTTGGAATGACAAGAAGCCAGAAGATTTGTACTGCATCACAGATTTGCTAATTAGCGCCTTGTGCTTCATATAGTGAGTGGGCTGTGATGCACTGAGAAGGTGCAGAGTTGTTTTTTTTTATAGTATAATTAGACAATTTTAAAATACTGTAGATTGCAATGGTCATGGAAATAAATGTGTCAACATTTTAAGTGCAGGCTTGACCATACAGGAAGGTTTTTTTTTTGTTTTTTTAAATTAGGGTTCACTGAAGATGACTGAAAATGGCTGACTTTGAGCCCTTTTTTTTGGAACCATGATATAGTCATAATATTTTCATGACACCTTGGATAATTCCACCCCCAAATCCAAGTAACTGGCACTTGCCATCCCCATCACATTTTCAGCCTTTGCGCTGTGCAGTGCTTACCACCATCTTTTCCTCCAATACATCCTAATTGCCTGTCTTGTCACAATTTGTCTCACAAGCTGGAGCTTGGCCCATTAACTAATATTTTACAGGCTTGTGAAGCAAAGAAGACAGTATGTACAGTTTGGGGGACACACTACCTCTGTATTAATATCTTACTCTGAGATCCTCCTTGTCTGTGTCTAATTATATGAATATGTTTTTAATACACACATTTATTGATTTAAGATTTGAGATATGCAGGACAAAAATACAACACCAAAGATTAGACTAGATATGCAATTACAACATAACTGGTGTAAATTGCAAAAGTGATATACTGCATGTGTCACAGCTACAACTGACATCTTTCCAGTTTGCCACCAGAGAGCACCATCCTTAGAGTACTGATCTGTTGCCTTGCCCAATTATTAACCTAACCTGTCTCTAATTGCCTGGCATTAGTGTCACCTTGCTGCCTTGTCTTGTCCTCGGTGTAACACATAAATGTGAAGATTGATGACAGTGGGCTGTTTGTTTTTGCCTCTTAACTGTTTTTGACTCCGCATCATTTCTTGCTTCTGTTTTTTAAATACCCCTGTGTCTTGAGCTCTGATACTGGATTTGCTTAGCCTTTTTATTTTTCTTAACAAATCAAATATTCTCTATTGTACATCTCTGTGTAACTACGACCTTACATGTATAAAATAAAATATAGCTTAATTGTTTTACATGCAAATTCAGATTACAACAGGATGCAAGAGCTGCACTCAAATCTAAATTTTATCTTATAATGTTCCATTAAAGCTGTCTGCTTGCAGCAAATAGTGATTAAATGAGCACCTAGCTTCCAATCAATAGTCATTAATCTCATCGCACCCCTCCTTGGCAAGCAATGACCGAGTTGGGAAACACAATGTTCTCAGTGCCATGAATTTCTCTTGATGCTGAGCCTGTCAGCAATAAATGTAGAAGTTGTAAAAACAGGTCATCTTGGACATAATTGCTTCATAGGTTGTGTGTAACATGCTGGTGAAGTTGTAGTCGCCTTGCCTACTCTCCTATGATGATTATGTCTATGATTATGTCTTTTGAGCTTTGAACAGCCTAAATTTACAAAAAAAAAAAAAAAAAGAATTTACACTTCGATCCCAACATTTTGGAGTCTCAAGTGTCACATTTAACCAATAAAGGGACATAAAATAGGCTGTGAGTTTTTAATATTGTGATGTAGAATGAAGTTAACTATTAATTTTAAAAAATTAGATAAAGGGCAGACACCTTTAGAGGAATAACAAGATAATAATAACAATAACAAGATCAATATCCCTGATGCTCTACTTGGAATTACCATCCAAATACCCACTAAGTAGTCCCACTTTTCATCATGAAAGGATCCAGCTAATGTGCTTTGGTTTCTGACATTCAGAAATATTTTAAATATAGATAATTTAGCCATTACCTAAACTTCTCTTAAAGCCTGGAAGCTGGGTGATGTCAGTAAACTCACCACTCATCAAGGAACAAAGCAAGCACTGTTGAGGATGTAGATGTTTATCAGATGTCATGATCAATAGGGATCAGAGTGAAAAATTTACCTGATGCTTATGTATATATACTATATGGCCAAATATATATATATATATATTATATGGCCAAAAGTTGGTGGACACCTGACCATAACATTCATTCAGCATGTGCTTGTTGAACATCCCATTCCAGATTTAGTCCCAGTTTGCTGTTATACTTCAATCCTCTGGAAGTGGGGTTGAGGTCAGGGCTCTGTACAGACCACTCAAGTTCTACCACTCCAACATTGGCAAAACATGTCTTCATGTGATAATGACAGTGCACAGGGGCACTGTCATGCTGGAACAGGATTGTGCCCCTTAGTTCCAGTGAAGGGAAATTGTAATGGTATAGCATACAAAAACATTATATAGAACTGTGTGCTTCCAAATTTGTGGCACCAGTTTGGGGAAGAACCACATATGGGTGTGATGCTCAGGTGTCCACAAACTTTTGGCTATTTAGTATTTGTGTGTGTGTACACTCGTTAGTGCACTTCATTTATCCCCTGCTTTTTCAGTGACTTGACATTTGGTGTATATATATATATATATATATATATATATATATATATATATATATATATATATATATACACACCTAAGATCTTCTAGACCTTAGCCTAGAAGATCCAAATGTCAAG